GAGGGCGCCTCCCCCCACCCGCGCCGCAACAAAGCCGCCAGTGGAAACCCCCCCCCTCCTACCCCCCGCCCCCCCCCCCCCCGGGTAGATTAAGGCAGGGAACGGTGATCTTGGTAGACTGACTTACAAGCACGTGGAGGCCGTCGAATGGAGGGCCAGTGGCTGAATGAAGGGGAGAGAAAGATGGAGAGGAAGAGAAAGCCATTTCCTGTTTGCTCCTTGTTTGGGGTCTGCCCATATCATTCAGCTGAAAGTAACAACCCGAACAATTACATTGCCAATTACGAAGGGTGCACTGATTGGGAATCATGGGAACTGTAGTCCAACTGTGCCCAAAAAGCCTTGGGTCGGGAAGGGTGCTCTAAGACCTCTTGGCATGAGACCATGGGCTGCAAAATCAGAGCCCCCCTCCCCCCTCCCCAATCTGGCACAATCTTCTGGGAGTAATACCAAGTATGTGTGTGACTCTGATTTCTGGGACCAAATGGATCCCCATAAAACTTGCAGAGGAGCTGAAAGGGTGGCTGGGTTGGCAGTGCCCCATGGAGGCCCCCAGAGACGCAGCAGAGGAGGCTGTAACCTGATGGCTCCAAGCGTGTCATGCCACCAGAGCAAGAAGGGGAAATAAGGTGAAGAAATGTTGATGCAAGGACCACCATTTTTTTTTTTTAACTCTCTGCTAATAAAATCCATGCCCAAGTTCTGGATCGAGAAAATAAACGGATCTTTTCTTGGACTTCATTCTTCTGAAGAACATTCAGGCACATTCTAGCTTTTAGCTTTTACTAGCAGCCCATATAACGCTCCCCCGTGCCTTTTTGGAAAGATACACTTTTGAAACAGTGGGTAGTTGATCACGTCTCCAACATGACAACCCTCCACCAGCCATCCCCGCAAGGGGAGGTGGTGTTTGATCTGGCCTGCTGGAATGTCCTTCCTCTCCCTCCTTGTGTTGAGAGATAAAAGGCTTTTGACTCGACTTGCTTCTAAGAACGGACTGGGCTGAATTTACAGAGAGAAACCCCCACCCGTGGGGAGACAAGTGTGCAAACCATCTGCCTTCAAAACCTGAACGATTCCAAAAATACAGCTCCCCGATGTTTATCTCAGGAATGTGGTCCAGAATCTCCCCACTTTTGATACTTCCAAATGAGAAATAGAATGATGGG